TTTTTTACAACAGGTTTCTTGAAGAAGGTAACAACACTCAAAATTGATGAAAACCAGTTAATTTACTTGCCGGACTCTATAGGAGGGTAAGTATTTTGCTTGAATAAACTAGTAACTGACCTTTCTGCAAGCCTTTCCGTAAGAACAGCTGCTCTTTTGAATGATTTTACACTTCTCTGCTTGACCTATCTATTACATATTACTGTGATGCCTTAATAAATTGAAGGCAGTCTGGTCAGCAGCTGTGTGTGTGTTCTTTAATATCAAAAGATGTAGTTCCTCATGAATTAACATGAGCATCAATCTATAAGTGGAAAGTTGAATGCGAGAGGAAGCAATGCAAATGTGGTTGTGAAGGCTAGCAGTTCATGCAAGTGTTTTGGGGCATCCTGCAAGAATAAAGTCCAGCTGTCTTAGCTGCCGCTGTGTTAGTTAACTGCAGCAAGTGATGGGACCTGTATTACCTGGTTATAAAAGTTGATCTGAAAAGCACATGTAAGAAGGTGATTTTTTCAGTTCAGTTCCAGTAGGATTTTTAAAAACAAGTGCATAGAACAAACTTCTGTAAAAATTAAATGCATTTCTTCCATTTCTTTATTTGTTCAGGTTAATATCAGTAGAAGAACTGGACTGTAGTTTTAATGAGATTGAAACATTGCCTTCATCTATTGGGCAACTCACTAACATAAGGACCTTTGCTGCAGATCATAACTTTCTAACACAGTTGCCACCAGAGGTATGTAAATAAACCTAATTGTAACTTAGAGAAAATATAGCTTTTATAGTTGTTATTTTCAAAAATACAAAAATTTGTTTTGACTTGTGAAGATCAATGTTCTTTTTTCTTTCCAGATAGGAAACTGGAAGCATGTAACAGTGTTGTTTCTTCATTCTAATAAGCTTGAATTTCTCCCTGAAGATATGGGTGATATGCAGAAATTGAGAGTCATCAATCTAAGTGACAATAGGTTTGCACATTATATTCATTCATGTAGGAGTTGCATAAAATGCAATAGCATTGCATATATTGTACTGTAGCAGATGTCTAACCTCTAAATTTTAAGTAGAGGAATTTTTATGAATATACTTTCTATCTTTCCTTATCCCACCATAGTGTTCCAGTTTCTGTTGGGTTTCTGCTCTTTTCAGTGTATTACAGTAAGGTATAATACACACTTTCCTGATGTCTTGACTTTGTAAAAACTTAGCTCTTTCTGTTTACTGCAGACACTGAGATGCATGTATAGGTACTGGTTTTATTATTCTTGTATTCTGAAGCTTGCTGTATGAAGCTGCTCTATAAAGCTGTGTAGTTTTAATGACATTGATGTTATAGCTTCACTATATTCATGATTGTTTGGATGTATTTTTATAGAAAATAAATTCAGTTATTTTCTAAAAACTTAGTTTTTTAACTTCAGAAAGATTCAAATATAATGCTGCCTTTACTGTGTGCGAAGACAAAACATTATCAGCGTGTGTTGTAAAATACTGAATGTGCTAGTCAAGGAGGAAAAGGAGGTATTTTTTTTTTACAGCAGGTCATTTCAAACTGACAAAACATTTCTCTTTTGGGACCTGCTAATTTCCTAAATTTAAATGCATTGGGAGAGATGAATATAACCAGGTTCTCCCTCTTGTTTTTCTAGTTTGGCTTCTCCATGCTGCTTGATCTGTAAATGTCAGAGCTTCTGTTTTTGAGGGCAGCGCTTTCTTTCTTTCTTTTTCTTCTTTTTTCTTTTTTCTTTTTTTTCTCTCAGAAGTGGTTTTCAGATGTAGTTCTTTTTTCTCTCTCTTTTTTTTTAACTACTACTTCCCCTCAGCTGGAGGTATGTATGCTATACTAAGTTAAATAGTCTCAGTTCTTTTAAGGTGCCTGCTATACAGGATAGAAAAAATATATTTTTTTATTAATTCAAAGTATAGCTTTGAAATTAAATGCTATTGCCTGTTCAGCTGTCAGTAGTTATTTTTTTAACAATATCTTTGAAAGGCATTTGCAAGCTTTTCTTACACACTAATGCAGCATTGTTTCTTAACAGTCTTAGCACTGGTAAGGATACTTACATAAAATCTTCCTCTTATAAATTGCAGACTGAAGAACTTGCCCTTTACCTTTACAAAACTGCAGCAGCTCACAGCTATGTGGCTGTCAGAAAATCAGGTGAACTTCTTTTTTTGATGTGGATGAATAGAATACTGTTGGATTTATTTCTAATGGAGCTGGTGTAGGGTCATCTGTTTAATGAATAAAAAGTGGTATTGTGGATATGCACCACTCATTTATTGACAAGAGTTTGTCAATTCTGTGTAACTAAACCATACTGAACATACCCACCTTGAGACTTCCTTATTTCTGGCAAAGTTGTGTGTGTTAGAAAATGCAGTTTAACAGATGTAGCTGCTTTTTCATCTTGGTTAGGGCTTGGTAAAGCAGGAAGGGTTGTGCTTGATAAACTAGTATTCTGATATGTCCTGCCCTGTTTCTTCCGCAGTACATAAGTCTCCTTTGAGGAGATTTAGCACTCTATCCTTTGTGCTAAACTCTTTGCCCACGTTTGGACTCCAACTATCCATGTTTCAAGCTACTGTAGAAGTAACTCTGCTTATAGCACGTGCATCTTTCCTGTCCATTGGGACCATAGTGTATTTAGCTTTAAATGACTAAATACATGTATGTGTTCCAGATCAGTGTGTTTCAGGGCAGTCCTAGCAAGAAACTGAGTATTTTTCAAATATCCAATGCTTGCCTGTCTTTGAAAAGGCGGGGGGGGGGGGGGGGGGGGGGAAGGAGT